TAACAGCCGAAGAAGTTATGCTTCGGATGTTTAGCCTCAACTTGAGACCCATTTTTTGGATAGCAAATGTTCAGATTGAAAAAATTGTTTTTCTAAAAGAATTATAGCCCTTTGAATTACATTTTCAACGCATTTTGAATCACCTCAATCGGATATATGTAGAAATAGTTATGGTCAAAATACTAAAAGTGCTTAGGGATGAACCAAAGAGCGGGCAATTCATGGCGCGCGTGGTACCCTATTTTTCCCAACCCGAGAGCCATTTGGCTCAATGGCGCGTGCACAATGGTTATGAATGAGCACACACTAGCCATGTCCGGGCCTGAACGGCCCAACTTCCTAATTTTATCCAAATTCTTATAGAAATCAAAATTGTGCCTATTATTTAACCTACAAGCATTGTTCTAAAAAACGCGAAAATGCGCCGCCTAGGGGTGCCTAGGAGCGACGCGCGACCAAAACGCGTCGAATTCGAAAAATGCGGGAAAAATGCGTTTTCCAACTAAAAGGCGCGCCTAATGCACGCCTAGGCGCGACTAGACGCGCATTAGTCCGTCGAATCCCCTTTTTTTTAAAAAAAAAAAAATCTGTTTTTTTTTTATATATTAAAAAATCTATTTTTTTATATAAAAATATATTTAATGCTTTAAAAATACAAAACGCATTATGATGCTTATTCTTCGCATTGACACGCCTAAACTTGTGATTCTTGATTCTCGGCCTCGACGCTTCGCTACGCATTACGCATTTTAGAACAATGCTTACAAGGGAACGACCAGAACAAAACACATATCAAAACCCTATTTTCACCACAAGAAGGAGGCTAGCACAAGATTGAAAGGCAATTAATACAAGAAATTGAAGATTCAAAGTCCGGATTAAAAATAAACGAAGAAGAAATTGATTTTCGCTTTCCAATTATTGTTTTTCATTCTGGGTGATTTTTTTCAAATCTTTTTGTGTAATTTACATAACAACATGATAGACTAGTTCTTCTCATGTATTGGATGAAGATGAAACATTTTATTATTTATTTTTAATTTGAGACAAGTAGTTAGTAAAATTCTCATTTTTCTTGATTAATCTTACATGGGTAATTTTATTATTTGATTATTTGATAATCAATTAAATATATAGTTGCTTGTTGTTGTGTTGGGAGGCTCATAATAGGTCTAGAACACTGCTTGATATTCATTCAAATTTGGACTAGGAATAGATTCTGATCGTGATTAGAATAGATTTAATTTGTCTTGAAAATGAGAATTAATTACAATAGAATTATCAATTGTCTAAAATGCATGAGTGATACTAGCTACGTAATTGAGAATTGAAATAAATAATAATAGGTATATTCAAAACATAATACACTCATTTCATATACATATAAAATTCGAATTTTACAAGTTTTGTAGATTAATTTAGATTAGTCACAAGTCTTTTTTGTTCGCTTACTTTGAATATGATTAGAAACTAATACATTTAAATTGAATTTATTCCCCGTGGGACGATAACTCTTGACTCGTCACGTATTACTTGTCAATGATCATGTACACTTGTGGGTTTCGCACGAACACTCTCAATTAGCTCATGGTTGGATTCCTCTTGCAGCACCAAGTGAAGATGTTATCAAGTGATGGCAGTGGATCCTTGAGGAAGATTTGATTCCTTAATCCGGTATAGATCTCATCTATGCCCATCGAGAATTGCATTATCTGTCTTTTTCGTGTTGTTTATTGATAATACTAATGGCACCATAGTTAGTTCCAGAGCAACTAAAAGGATCTTCATATCTGGAGATCTCTTCCCATATCAGTTTCATTTTGGAGAAATAAACACTTACTGGTTTCTTTTCTTATTTGGTGGCTGTCAGTTGTTGCTCTGACAAGAAGATGCGATTATTGCTTGATTTGGTGAATCGTTTCTTCCGTTCTTCCCATATTTGTACTGCACAATCTGAGTACATCTCATAGCCACTATTTCGAGTGATAGGCTGTTTGTGATCCATGTTAAAATCATGTGATTGCATCTTTTCCATTGGGGTTATTGAGAGCTTGTTTCGGCTGGTTGCTTAACCGTGCCATCCACAAATCCAAGCTTGTTTTTGGCAGACAAGGTCACATACATGGTTCTACTCTAAGCATGATAGTTGGGTAAGAGGTTGTGACACCAATACCAGTCTAGGACTCTTTCCATGGTGAAGAAAGAGAGGGTTGGAAGCAGGATCTTCCTGGGAGTTGAATGGGGTGGTTGGATTTATAGATTCATTATCTGAATCAATCATGATGGGAGTAATGTATGTTGGTTGAGTGGTTGGAAGTGGGTGGAGAATCAGGATCGACAGGGATTTAAGACTCTTGTCCTGATACCATAACAAAAAGAGATGAGAGTTGGTTACCAACACGGTGAACCTCAGAATTGAATTGCATTCATTGTTTTAAAATAAACAAGGAGAGATCTCTACATATACACCAAGTCAGATCTTGAAAATCAGGGATTATTTACGACTACAGACTAAACATAATAGCTATAGGCCTAACAACACAGCTGCTTTCTTTCACTCCAGCAGGTTCCATTTTGGTAAAACATCCACTCTATTTCTTCAATTGCGGTGCTATATCTCCTCCGTTGTAAGAGGTCGACAGTTAATTTCAAAACTTACAGGCAGCTTATCTTGTTCCAATAGTCCGTGTTTTCTGCTGCATTTAATTTCAATATCTATCTCATTACTTGCTGTTTTTGCCTATCCATAGTAGTGCCAGTTTGTTGTTATAGTCCTACATTCAGGGAATTAAAACAAATCAAAGTCTTTTTTTTAAATGTATGAGAGTACAAGGTCAGTCATCTGGGTTATTATCGAAATTTTCGGTTTCAACTTTCAATGGTAGCATCCAATGGCATTATTATCATACATCATGTAGGCTGTAGCTCAAGGATCTTAAATTGAATAATAAATAGATCCATATGCTAATTAAATCATTGAATATTATTGACAGTGTATACTTCATAATTTAAGAATCAGAGGCATATGATGAGTCATGACAATTAACAGGCCATCCAAGTAAAAGAACATGTTCTTTCTGATTCTTCGAGCGGTGCTCATGTTTATCGATGTATTATGAACAGGGTATTGGAGAATATAGAAAAGAGACCTCGATTTGATATCATTTGTGTAGCACCATCAATATGGACTAATACTAAAGGTTTATATATGTAATTATGAACACAAACTCTGTTGAGATCCCCAGTGATCGATGAACGAGCTGTTTCACAATAGATAATCTTGCTGCAACCTTCTATAGCAGTTTTGGGAATGGAGGATTCACCAACATCCCCTATCACTACATTTACGAATGTTGGAAACATATCCACCATTTATTGGTCTGCTTTTGTTTCTAATCCCCTGTTTGATTCCCATTTTTGAGATAAAATGTATTTGGAATAGTGATTTTTTGGAGTATGTGTGATTAAAAAGTAAGAATTTTTTTTGAAATACGTGTATAATTATTTTATGGGAGAATGTATGGTTGAAAATGAGTTTTGAAAAAATGCATTCGTGAAAAATTGGGCTCAAGCAGGGGCTAATTATGCTACATTACATAAGAACCCTAATTGTTGTAGCCAACATTTAACCATCACAATATCTAATTCTCATATTCAATTGGATTTTGTTGAACATTGGTAAAATATCAAATGTAAATATGCAAATTTCTATCGATGTTGGAAGGGAAAAAATACAAATTCTTCAAATTTGATAAGATATTGTGCAGATGAAGGAAGGGAAGACCTTCATAATATTACCACTAAGCATAAGCTTGTGAACAACAATGTCGTCACTATCAACTTGCATTAAAGAGGTAATTTTTAAATACCTTCTATTTTGTTTATTTCGTACATTTTTTAAAGCAATTCACGTTTGCATTGAAGATGCTCTTATGAATAAATGTTTTGGGCTGTGATGTCAAAATCCAATCCAATTGGGCTATGATGATAGGGGGCATTTTATTAAGGCCCAATCTGTTAGTTGCTATTGCCCAATAACCTAAATGATCGGCCCAAAACTCAGACCCAGTCATTAGCCTTAAGTAGCATTTTTGATACATGCTTTTAGCTGTGTGCAAATTGGATAAGTTGTTAGTTGCTTTGGGCCTTTAATATCAATACAAGATCTATGGTGATGATTGAGGGTATAAATATAATACATTAGGATTTGATTATTCATTCCACATGTTTTCTATATAAGGCCAGGGTTTGTTCTTTCCTTATGGCTTTTGTTCGTCTTCTCCTTCGTTTTCAACTTCTGGTTGTGCGATTCTTGTGATTTTTGGAGTGAATCTAGTGAGAATCTTTGTGATTCTAAGTGTATTGTTTGGGGTCTGAGTTGAGTGTCTTGGTCCATTGAAGCAACTTCAACGTGCTTCTGGTTTGGGTATGGGTTTTTGTGGCCTCTATGGTTCAGATGTGTACAATATAATCTAAGCCCGTTCGATAAGATCTTGATGCCTTTGATAAATCTGTAGATCGAATTGTAACATCTGGTTTTATATTGTTGTTCTTGTGTCTGTAATTTTTGCATAACAAAATGATTTGTAGGATGATGAATTTTCTTTATGTCCTATTTTAAAATTTTACTTTTCTACTTATTTTATTTATGTAAAAGTAAAGGAAATTAGGTTTTTTTTTTTCAAAAGTCTGGCCCTTTTTAACTGTCAATTGGTTGAAAACCATCAAAAAGACCAATTTCGTTCATTAAGTGTAAGGTTAGAAATATCGTGTCGGGATTTGAAAGTCGGGAACCATTTGCTCAACAATCCCATAAATAAGGGACCATTTGTGCCAATTCCCTCAACTTTAATTCTATTGGGAAATTTTAGAGCTGAGAAGTGAAATCGTAACACTAAACAGCGACTTTAGTAAAATTGTTGAAGTTGTAAGAAGTAATACTGAAATCGCCCGCCCGCTTCAAAACCCTAGCCTTTGCTTCCGAATTCCTCCATCCGCCCATGGAAACCACCGTGTCACCACCAGAGTCCACCGCCAATGTCTCAACGAACGTTGATCCTCTCGAACTCTCCGCCACAAACAACCCTGCGAACGATACGACAACTGATGCCGCCGTTTCGTACGTGCCGTCTGACCCCAAGGTAACTGAACCCATCTCCGAGTCACACGAACCCCAAACCCAACCTCCGCCTGGATCCCAACCTGGGCCCTCACCACAGAAGAAACGGCGCCGTCGTAGGAAAATATTTACCGATATGATATCAACATCCGCCTCTCGCCTCCGTGTCCTCCGCCCGCACCCAAAACAAACCACCGCCTACTCCCACTCTGAGACTGAACTCCCCGACTCACCTTCCTACCAGCACCAACGCAAACGCAAGTCCCCTCCCGACCTCGACAAGGAGGTCGACATAGAGGCCCTCATTGCCATCTCCGTTGGATTCCCTGTGGACTCCCTTACTGAGGAGGAGATCGAGGCGAATGTTGTATCCCAAATTGGTGGCGTCGAGCAGGCTAATTACATTATTGTGCGTAACCACATCCTTGCGCGGTGGCGATCTAACGTGTCCCTCTGGCTCACCAAGGACCACGCCCTTGAGTCCATCCGCGCCGAGCATAAGAACCTAGTGAATTCCGCCTATAATTTCCTTCTCCACCATGGTTACATAAATTTCGGGGTTACCCCTGCAATCAAGGAAGTGAAGATTAAGCCAGTGGATGGAATGCCAAAAGGCAGCGTGATTGTTATAGGTGCGGGGCTCTCCGGTTTGGTTGCAGCCAGGCAATTAATTTTTCTGGGCTTTAAGGTTGTAGTGCTCGAGGGTCGGGCCCGGCCAGGAGGGAGAGTCCGCACTAAGAAAATGACTGGAGGTGATAGCAAGACCTTGGCGGCTGCGGACCTTGGCGGGAGCGTTTTGACGGGAATTAATGGGAATCCGTTAGGGGTTTTGGTTCGACAGCTTGGATTCCCGCTGCATAAGGTGAGGGATATTTGCCCTTTATATTTACCTAATGGCAGGATGGTGAATTCAGATATCGATTCAAAGGTTGAGGTCTCCTTTAATGAGTTGTTGGATAAGGTTTGTAAGCTTAGGCAGGGAATCATGGAGGAAGTTAAGAGCGTGGATGTTTCACTTGGGACTGCGTTGGAGGCATTTAGGTCTGTGTACAAGGTGGCCGAGGATCCAATGGAGCGGATGTTATTAGATTGGCATTTGGCCAATTTGGAGTACGCCAACGCGACATTGATGTCCAATTTGTCCATGGCATTTTGGGATCAGGACGATCCATATGAAATGGGTGGTGATCATTGTTTTATTCCGGGAGGAAATGAGAGGCTTGTTAGGGCTTTAGCAGAGGACCTTCCAATTTTTAGTGATCGACCTGTGGAGAGAGTGATATATGGAAGTGATGGGGTGTTAGTTCATGCAGGAGGTCAGGAGTATCGTGGTGATATGGTGCTGTGCACAGTGCCATTGGGGGTGCTCAAGAGGGGAGTAATTCAGTTTGTACCAGAGCTACCACAACGGAAGCAAGACGCAATTGAGAGATTAGGGTTTGGATTGTTAAATAAGGTTGCCATTTTGTTTCCGTATGATTTTTGGGGTGGAGAGATAGATACATTTGGACATTTAACAGAGGACCCGAATATGAGAGGGGAGTTCTTCCTGTTCTATAGTTATTCTTCAGTAGCCGGTGGACCACTGCTGGTTGCTCTTGTGGCTGGTGAGGCTGCGGTCAAGTTTGAAAGTATGTCTCCCGTGGAATCTGTGAGCAGAGTTTTGGAGATTTTGAAAGGCATTTTCAGCCCGAAGGGAATTGCAGTTCCAGATCCGCTCCAGGCTGTTTGTACTCGTTGGGGTCAAGATCAGTTCTCATATGGGTCATATTCTTATGTTGCAATAGGCGCTTCGGGAGATGATTATGATATCCTTGCTGAGAGTGTTGCAGATCGAGTTTTCTTTGCTGGAGAAGCCACTAATAAACAGTATCCAGCAACAATGCACGGTGCTTTTCTTAGTGGGATGAGAGAGGCTGCTCATATAAATAGGGTTGTTAAGAGGAGATCAATGCCTTCCCCTGAGAAATTGAATAATCTTGATCAGGAAAGCAGTGATTTGGATATCCTATTCGAGACCCCTGACCTTGCATTTGGCAAATTTTCTGTTCTGTTTGATCCCCGATCAGCGGATTTAGAATCCAATGCTTTGTTACGAGTTGCATTTCAGGGCGAGAAGTTGAACTCTGATTTTCTTTATCTATATGGCTTGGTCCAGAGGAAGCAGGTTATTGAGCTGAATAAGGTGGAAGAAGATCTAAGCAGGATAAAGATGTTAAATTGTGACTTTCAGGTGAGGTTGGTTGGGAGGAAAGATCTATGTAATTCTGCCGAGTCTATCATCACCTGCATCAAATCGGGTATACTATCTTCGAATTAGAATTTGTCAATGGTGATGGAAGAAAAACTTGATGCTTGCAAAGTCTGCAAAATATGCACTGTATGGATTCAAGTAAATCAAGACTCATTCTTTGGGAGAAAGTGCTCGCTTGCGGCGGAAGCTGCTCTTCATGTTGTATAGTGTTAACTTGTCCTGGCGATTTGATTCAGATAGCAGCTTAAATTGATTAAAAGTAGGGCAATGGTATCTTGATTTTTGACTTCAAGAGGGTCAGCCAAGATATCAGCGAGTATTGGTGTATTTTAGGGAACCTCATTGATGTTACTTTGTTCTCGTTCAATCAGTAGCCATCAAAATTTAACCTATTTTTTTCTTTGTATTCAATCGATCATTTTTTCAGATGCTAGCAGTTGATTTTTACTTCTTCCATTGTTCCATGGTATGGATTTTCAACATTACTGCTGGTTGTATTTCTCGAAAACTAAGCCTGGAAAAACCTCTGCTCTAAACATTGAAAATAATGTCAATTTGTAAACTTGGAAATTCGATGAAGGTTGTAGAGCTCGAATCTTATTATCACAAGCAATTCAGAACTCAAACTAGTTATATAATTTTATAGACATGTCTCATAAAGCCGACCTTAGCTCAGTTGGTAGAGCGGAGGACTGTAGTAGTTGCTGAGATCCTTAGGTCGCTGGTTCGAATCCGGCAGGTCGGATTAAATTTTTTATCTATTTTCCTGCCTCTCCATTTGAACAACAAAGATATTAATCGAAAAAATATGTATATAATAAATCTGCTTAGGCCGTCCTTTTGGTTTTCCAATTTTTGGTTTTAAATTTTTCATTGATTGGACCGAACAATTCAAGAGATGAAAGACTGCATATCCTTACTTTTACGATAGTTTATAATTTCTCTCTTCTGTTTGTTGTGCTCAAAGAAGGGTGAAATCAATTGAAATGGTCTCTTATTGACAAATTTATAGAAAGGAATAATTGCTCCATCTTTGACCCCAAATTCAAACTCATTTTTAATTATACATTTAATGAAATTTACAACTTGTATCTATTTTTTAACCATATTTTCTCAAAAAAAAAAAATTCAAAATCTACTAAAAATTTAATTTTTATTAAAACCAAACAGGGATAGTGTGTGTTCGTATATTTATTTTTAAGTGGATCGTCAATGAAATGCATGGTTCACGAATATGCATTAAATTTGAAACAAATCAGGGCTTGAATCGAGGCTTAACATGTCATTGATATGTGAAGAAGCAACCATTTACATGAAGAAGGTCCAAGCTCGATAATAGCTCCTTTCTCTTATCTCTTGTCATTGTGGTCTTTTCTCGTGCCGATTCTTAGCAAGTATGATGGAAGAGTGATCATGGATCACTCCATAGGCCGTCCACAATCCATCTTGAATTTGTGAGCTATCTTTCAAATGTATGACTAAACACTTCAGTGGTACAGAATGCAATCATTAATGATGTGACATCTCTAAAAGAAACAATGTTTAAAGTTGAGAAAGCTATAGATTGCCAACCTAGATGGTAGCTGAGTTTGGAGGATATGTTATAACTTCTAACTTTTTCGCTCCAAAATTGGTTGACAAAGCATCCATAGTCCATCCAATCAAACCTACATCGAATAAATCCTTAACCATTCCCCCTCTGGCTAATAATAAAGAATATTCTTGTGAATTATGGCTAATACCGAGGTGCATAAGCAATGATTTCAAATTCAAACCATGTACAGAGGCTAACGCCTTCCCGTTGTCGAGAAGTTAAGGAAGTTAGTAACTTAATGACATGTTAAGAGCATGAGATGAGCTTTGGGTTGGGAATATTGATGAAATGCCATTTAAAAGTTGTGAATCTCCAACATATATGATTAAAATTAATTATTAACTTTAACTTAAAATTTTATTTCAATTTTAATCTCAAATTAACATGGGATGTATAAAAATTGTCATTTGCTCCAAGTAAGCTCACATAATACCCAGAGTTTTGCTATGTGCATAAGGCAATTTGACATGATTTTGTACAGAAAAATATTTGACAAATTTTCAATGGAATTGACAAAAAATAAAATAAAAAATTACAGTTATACAAGTGCTTCCATCTCAGCTCCTGTAAATTTCTATGTCAGTAACCCATGTACAAACAGATTAACCCTAATACCCATTTGCTCAAACTTTGCCACATCTAATTAGATATAATATTTGGAACGGTGAAATACCGCCTTTGTTTGTCTCCATTTTTGAAGAGTTTTTGGAGGAAGATGATTTTTTAGTAGTAATTTTTTTTAAAATGTGTGATTAAAAAGTAGAAAAAAATAATTAAATTTACATGCAAAATGTTTCATTGTGTGAATGTTTAGTGAAAAATGAGTTTGAGAAAAAAGGAATTTTAAAAAATTTAGACAACATGGACATAATAAACTACAAGGCGATTGAATAGACTAATTGAGCTATTTTGCACGTTTTTGCAAATTTATAACATGACTTTGATCTAAGATCGTGAAAATTTCGATGTCTAAGGGAGCTAAGCCTCTGTTTGAGCCACATTCTCAATTTCATTCTTATTATTCTACTCACTTTCAACCACATATTTTTCAATAAAATAATATTTTTTATCACATCAATAACTTTTCTTTCTATCTCAACCACATATTTTTCATCACATCACATCAAAAAAATGTATTCTCTTCTTAAAAAATGTGCATCAAACACACTCTAGATGGTTGAATCACACTACACAGGTAAAGGAGAAATTGCAAAGGGTCAATATGGGGGAGAAGTGTCCCCTTATAATTGGCTAAGGTAGAAAACCAATTACAGAGGAACAAGTGTCTCCCCTATGGTTATTGTGCAATTTTCTATATATGTAGGGATTTTAGGCCTGTTTGGTTTAGTTAAAAAATAATAATTATATTTTAGTAGATTTTGATAAAAATTGATTAAAAAATGTGTATCACGAAATAAATGATGAAAAATGAATTTTAAATAAAATTAATTTAAAAACAAGTTCAAACCAGGGGCGAAGC